ACTACTACTACTACTACTACTACTACTACTACTACTACTACTACTACTACTACTACTACTAATAGTACTACTTGTGTGCACCAGAGGAACTACCATCGCCAAAAAGCCCTTTCAGATGGTTCTCTGGTTCACGAAAATCACTTGCACCGAGTGATACAACTAAATGAACCATTGTAACCATGGCCGCTTGAAAAATATCGCAACATGGGCCAACCGAACCGAACCGAAACTCCCAATGCCATGGATGTGAACCAGGTCAGATGGTCCTTGTCCGACGGTCGTCTGACAAGACGGTCGTTGTCTGAGACTGCGGAACACCCGTTTCAACACACGGAAGGATCTGGAAATCCAGTTCGACTCCAAAAATAAGTGTCCCGTCCCGAGCAGAATCTAGGAACCAAATCATTCGTGCGAGCGCATTATAACAAGGAAGGGGAGCTTCATCAGGTGGGGGAGCTTCCTTGAAGAAACATAGCTCGCTCTCCGTTAAGTAGCAGTAGGCGCCAGCCCTTAATTCGGACGTTGAAGGCAGGATCGTCAGAGTTGACCCCAACTCTGAGTCTGGTCCCAGAAGCTTCAGCTCGAATTCCTCCTTGATCTTGGTGACCAAGCTATCCTGAGACGCAGACGGCGAGTGCAAGTGGGAAGCACCACTTCCAGTGCAGGTCTGCTTATGTTCAGGCCTAGGACCGGCCTAGGAGGTGCCGCGAGTACATCAACGCACCACTCGCGAAAAGAGTGCGAACGTCCACCTACTTCATGACACCCTCAAATGGTGACAACAGAAAGGACTGTTTCTGAGTTCTTGTTCTATCTGGGATCTCTGGGATCTCTTTTCATATGAACTTCAACTGATGATGGTGGCTGGGGTCAAAGAAAGTTCTGCCCCTGGAAATGTCATACGATGGGGTCAGAATTCATATTATGGAGAAAGTTCTCTGACGATGGGGTCTCTAAAATCTGTTCTTCTTTTGACAGAATCTTGGCTCTTCACAGAGCCACCCACCTTCCAATCCATAAAATCACCCACCTTCCAATCAAACCCAATGTCCCACACACCGCGCTCATCGCTTTCTTCCCTGCTTATCGCTGTCCCCGAAACCTTCGACCCCCGGACCCAACGAACCCCCCCACGTCGCCATCGATCGCTCCGCGTGGAACGGGGCGGCCAAGCGGGGTGCCGAGGTCGTGAATCGCCCAGGAAGAAAACGCTTGCGACGTTCAGTGCCGTGGCGCTGGCGAATGGATGTTGGAATTCAGAGCTTTTTGGGTGAATGGAGCATCCGAGGATTAAAACATGGACTCTTCCGGGTGAACCTTCCTCAAAAACTAGACACGGGCAAACTCATCGACGTGTCCAAACTTCGATTCAGACTTGGTTTGGAGAAGTCGAGCCATGCCCTCCAGGCTCCTACCTGTCCAACCAAGTGAGAACCCTTTGACCCTCTACAGCCTGGATCTTCCAACTGTGCAAAATGTCTGCCGAACTTCATCTGTGAAAACCAGCCAAGTTCGGCAGACATGTTGCAGTTGGACGATCCAGGTATTCTTCACATCCTTCCTTCACCCTCCTTCACCCCCTCATCGAGGCCACCCAGAACGCCGAGCGGCCAACGCGCTGCGCAATTGCTGCGGATCCAGCACGGCGGTGTCGGGCGCCAGGCGCCGCAAATGGTCCCTGGGTCGCCGCTGCGTGGGTCCGTCGAGTCGGGGTCGGTCCGCGCTGCTCCGCGTCAGTGGTGGTCCCTTTCTCCCGAAAGGGATCGCGTTGGTCGCGTCGGGGGCCGCCGCTCTGTCAAAGCTTCAGACCCGGATTCTGGGAAAAGACCCCAAGAAATCATTCCTAGAGACTGACTGACCTCTGTTTTTGATAGGAAAAGACCATATTTTGGATAGTTGATCTGGATCCCCAAAAAACCAGGGGTCACTCAGGCTCCAGGTTACTATATCTGCCCAGACGCGACCCTGGACCCTCATATGGGTCGGACCCGAATCCTCGGGTCAGGGGTCTGGGGTTCTCACCAATCCTAGAGGGGTCGCTGTGAACGGAGCCTCTGGGTATTGCTATAACTTCCAGAGTCAAGAGTTTGACCCTTCACATGTGGATCTCCTTGCATCTCCCATCTCGAAACTTCTCCTGGCGCTTCTGGTGCCTGAAGCGCTTCTGCAAGTCTTCCTTCACCGAAACCGTCTCAACCTTGACAAATGCCTCGCGCGGGTGTCTACCCGCGGGTGAGGCAATGCTGCAACAGGCGAGGCAATGCTCCAAAGAGGGCCTGTTGGATGTATTTCTTTCATCTGTGCTATAGTGGCAAATACCACGTCCGCACGTCCGACATACATCCAAACGGCAACAACACAAATGTCGGGTACCCTGAGGGTTCAGACCTGTGCTGTCCAGGAAGCCGGAAAACCACATATTCACCAGATAGGGATTGATTGACCCACGATTAAAAAAGAAACACTAACAAGCACCCAAAGCAAAACCAGGCCTTTGTTGCGGTTCGCAAAACGTCCAAAGGCCTCTTTGCATCATCCCAAAATGAGCTGAGCGTCATCCCTTACACCCCTAACCTCCATTAAGCACCCCTTTGTGACTGCTGGTTTACTGATTTGGAGTGCAAATCCAAATCACACGCGATCAAAATCATCTTTGGATTTGCAGTGTGCTTGTGTCGCTTTCATTCCAAGTCGGACTGTTCTGGAATTCCGTCTCCAGCTTTGTGCCGTCTTTGAAAAGGCACCTCAGCGGAGAAGGGGTCTTTTTCGCTCGTCTTCCAAACGTCCTTCCTTTTGGATTTGATATACCCCCACCTGGGAGTAGGACTCCAAACACTACGGGAGTCAACTGAGTCACTGCCTGGGCCTTTTTCAGGGTTTCCTCCCCCCTTCCTTGGTCTTTTTTCCGAAGAAGCCACGCCTCCCGAAGCCCGATGGCCATGTCGTTGGCGTTCTCTTTGAACGCCTCAGCCAGCGGCCAGCGGCCGCGTGGGTGCGTGTCAGATGCACGTGCCCCCCTGGTTGGCCGCGCGATGCACAGAGGCCATGGCTTTCCTTTTTGGACACCTGCCCTAGGGTCTTCTTTTTTCGGACCGCGCGGCCGGGCCGGCGCGATCCGGTTGAAAAAACACCTCAGTGCAGCCCTGGTAGTAGCCAAATCGATCGGATTCCAACTGCAGTAATGATTTAATCGCCGGGTCATCCCGAACAACGAGCTGTTTTACTAAGGACCTTACACTACAATATCAGATCAACCACATTTGAAACATGTTCTGGGACTTCTAGGGTACTGATCTCTACGCACCCGTACCGGGTTCGGGTTCAAAGAACTGTTGTTTTGATGGTCTGAATCCCAAAGAAGCATTATTTTACTAAGGATGTTTACACTACGCCACCAGGTCAACTATTCCTTTAATGCTCGAACTGAAGGCCAGGAAACCAAAGCCATGAATGTTGCGCCATAAATCTGACATCAACTTGGTAGTCCCAGTAAAACACCACAGCAGTCTGCAGCCTCCACATTCGCCTGTCCCCGTCACGGCAGGTGGTCGTGCCTTGGCGAAGTTCATGACCTGACGCGTGGCGAGGGCACGCCCGGGTTCCGTTAGCTTCGTTGGCCCCATGAGATCCACCGTTGGATCCGTTGGGGTGCCATGTATTGATCAGGCTGATGGATTTCACGTGCTCTGATTACACCATGGTCCAAAAAGCGGGAAAAAAAAGACAATCCGGCGACCACGGACGAGCTCCGGAAGAGTGGTTCAAAAAACGCTCATGTGGCAAAGAAATGGGCTGTTCAGCACACCCGTTTCAAGTATGGAAGCGAGCGAACCAGTCTTTTCATGTCTTTTCCATGTCTTTTCTGGCCCATGACCAATGTGTCGCCTTTTAAAGGGAAGGGTTCTCCCAGCACCATTCTCTCTGGGCCATCCTTGCACAAGCGACCACCTTCGATACCGCGAATCCGTTCGTCCCCCCAATTCGATTGGAAGGGCCCCGAGTCCATCTTTCATGATCTTTCCCGGGTGGGTCATGGCACCGGAGGTTCCCCCTGGTACCAGAGAAAATGAGCAGAATGGACAGACCACTAGAGAGGTTAACCTACCAAGGATTAGGGGTGCGATGAACCACAGCCATTTCAACAACTGTCTCTAGCTGTCTGAGATTGTTTGAGACAGGGAGATCGATTAAGGAAGAGCGCAGCCACCCATGGTGGACACGCTTCTAGGTTTTTTCCCGGTTTGCTGGGGTCACTACCCAACATCTATCTGCACCACCTAAAAAACCACAGCAGCTCAGATCACCTGTGGGTCACCTGATGCTCAACCCCCATCCAACCGGGGCGCCGGACGATCTGCTGGAAGCCTTGTGTGGTGATCTCACACCCCAACGGCGCCTGGTGCAGTACACTGAGTCAAGTGAGGCGCGAAGTGGGACTGAGGAACCTATGGAAGGAGCGAGCTATGGAACAAAACTGGTGGAGCTAGGAGTCAGCAAGCCAGTGGGTCGGGGTCTGGGAGTCTAGCACTGATTTAGAAGATGTTTGCACCAACAGAATGACCCAATGGCGTCAATGCACTCTGTCAGAATCCTTCTCCGGGTTGAGGCTGTTTGGGACCACGGGCAATAGAAGATCTTTCGTTTGCACACCAAGTTCGAACAAGACATGAAAAACGGCACCCAAAAGGGCAATCCATGCCGTCTCTTCCGGCCTCTTTACAACGGCTTTTTCCCACGGCTTGTCTCCCTTTGCTTGCAAAATTCGAGCTGATCATCTGTTCGTTTCTTGTTTTTTTTGGTGCAAAGATGCCAAGGCCAATGCCTTTCATCATCTGTTCCTTACGACCCAAGAGACCAAAACCAATGCCTTGGATTTCTGCAGCAGACCGACTCATCTCTTTTTGGGGAGGTCAGACCTCCAAGACAAGCTCAGCAGACCCGACTCGACCCCAAAGTCGGTCGTCCAGGCCCGAGGCGCCGAGGGATCGGGGAACTTGCCGCTGCCGAAGAAGTCTTCACAGAAACAGTCCTCCACTCGAACGGAGCGCGCATCGCCGGCTCTGCGGAGCGCGGAGCGCGCGGCATCGCGAGCGACGATCCAAAGCAGGTGCATGTTTTCTTCGGTCGATCGGTGGATTGGGGAGGGGGTCTCCAAAGCAGGTCGCCGACCCCTTCCCCAAAGCCATGGGCTATGGGTTTGGGTATGCTTGAGTGAGTTTAGTTGTCCACCGATTCAGGACCAAACAAGAGGCTCTTTGGCCAAGTTTTCAGGTTCCAGCGAAGTTGGGTGCGTGCATGTGTCGCGAAGTTTGTCGGAGCTTCGCGAGGGAATCGTGCACCCACGAACATCGTAGTGTTTGACTTGGTGCGCTTAAGATGAATCACCGCCTTCGAGTCTTACCCATCGCAAAATACAACACACACGGGTATACAAGTAACATCCAAGCCTAGATGTATGTCCAAAAAACCATGAAAAACCCTTCATTCATCTCCCTTTCGTGGATCCTGGGATGCTCCACAGGACCCGAAACGACGAAGGCGGCTCCGCCGCCGATCGGGGCCGATCTTTTGTTCAGCGTCTGACTCGTGCTATCCGAGCGTCCAACAAATGCAAGAAGTCAGTGTCGATATCTTTGATCTCACCAGTATACGTAGGCCTGGTTTCCGCGCAACGGAAAAAGAAACCAGCTGTTTGTGTCTTTTTCTTCGCCTGACAAACCAGCTCCGGACCTCTCGCAAAGAACTACAGGTGTCTCTCCACTCCAGAGCTGCACACCAGGAAGAACGGGCGGTTGGTTTGCCCAACACGGTCTGCCCAACTCACGACGGTCCATCCTCCGGGATCCTCCGGGACCGAAACCGGCGGGGGAATTTCCGGTCACGGTTCGATCCGGTTCAGCGCTGTCTTCCAATGTCCAGGGCGCTCGCTGGGTTCCAGCTCGCTGGGTCGAAACGGTCCAAACAACTAGCTGTTGATATGGTCAAAACAATGGCGATCATGGCACCGGGGGACTTCTCCTGGGTCTTTCCCACCGAAAAGGAACAGAACAGAACACTATATAACTGTGACTTTGAGGATGCGCATTTGGTGCTTGACGTTGGAGCCTTTTTCACTTTGTGGCGCCGCTTTCGCTTTTTCATTCGAAGGCATCTAGATGACCGCTCGCGCTTTGCAAAACAGGCATTGCTGCACTTGCTTGCTTTTTCGCTTTGGCCCACACCTGGTTCTTTCTGATTTGCTTTCAGTGGACCCTTCGGTTGTTTTGGGATTGGGCCTCCCACGAACCCACATTGGTAGCGGAGCCCGAGGGCAGTTTGGGGGAACACTTTTCTTCTAGGCTGCCTACTGCTTTCCTGCTTTAGCTTGACGCCATGGCTGCCATGGCGAACGGCGATCAACACGCCGAGCAGATGGAGACTGCTGTTGGCGCGGCAGCTGCTGTGCCCTTGCCGCCGGATGGCGGCGCAGATCCTTGGCAAGAGCCTGGTGGGGATCCATGGACTGGACCCAACGGGACGGGCAATGAAGAGATGGGCTCTCCTGCCGTAGTTCCTGCACAGGTCACACAGACCATGGACCAAGGCCAACCGTCGGCACCAACGGGTGAACCTGTGGCGTTAGGACCTATGGCTCACGCTGGACAGACACAGGTCCAGCCACAACCACCAGGCCTGATGATGATGGATGGAGCTATGCCGGTGCCTGGAATGCAGCAACAGCACATGGCACATGTGGGGCCATGTGTACCGCCAGGGTGGGGCTTTCCTCATGGTTGCATGCCGCATCCCATGAACATGGCACCTCACCCAACTCCAGGGTTCGGCATGTGCAATGGACCACCACCTAGTTTTCCAGGACATCCACATCCACATCCATGCATGGGACCACCAGTTGTGATGCCATGGTCCACTTTTCCATGGGCTTGGTCTTCCCCAATGCCAGCACCCATCCCGGCCACCATGCCAGCAGGTCCAACCAGTCAGGCACAATCGGGCGTGCCGACAGGATCTGCCACAGGAGACAGTTGGTCCAAGCCTGCATCAGAGCAGGCCTCTAACACCAAGGACAAGAAACGCCCTGATCCGTCAGAGGCTCCTGATGATCCTGATGATGGCGATGTATCCTCTGCACCTACCTCCGAAATCCGCTCCATGCTCAGGCAGAGGATCAAGAAGGATGGCGATGGCTCCAGGCCAAAGAGCTCACTCGGCTCTGTGCGCATTGAAGAGTACTATGGTGAGAGGCATCAAATGGAAGCGGACCATTCAGGCTCAACAATGCCTATATGGCCTGGAGAACCAGGGGCTGGCGATGTTGGTGTACCTGAGTACACGCAAGGAAGCCCGAGATGTGGTGGAGCAGCATCCGGTCACCTCCTACACTGGACCAGGCGGCTTGGCCTTGCTTTGGAAGGTCTTGGATGAAGCATTCGGTGAATCCGAGACCGAGCTGTTCGAGAGGGCTGACAAGGAGCTGGAGCGCTACCGCCGTGGCCCAGGTGAGAGCATCCCTCACTATCTGGCAGAGATGAGGCGGTTGAAGGCTCAGTACATGCGGGTTGATCCCGACACCCGCCTCTCAGATCGTGCTTGGGCTCAGAAGCTTCTTCACAAAGCCTCCCTCAGCAGAAAGGAGAGGTATGATGTCTACTACAGTGCAGGTGCTGTCTACGACCCCACTGCAATCGAGAAGGCTCTCCGTGTCCGTTGCGCTCATCTTCATCATGATGAACGGCGAACCCCCTCGAGGACACCACATCGAGAGAGGGAGAAGGAAGATGAGGTCAGGACCTACAAGAAGAAGAAGGTGTTCATCAAGAAGCGCATCCACGGGAGCCATGTGGCAGATGCCACTGAAGAAGGGGAAGATGATGATGAAATGCCTGAAGAAGAAGGCGGTGAAGAAGAGCCCCAAGGCCAGCCAGGCGAAGAAGAAGAAGAAGGCGACTATGAAGAGGAGGAGGACAACGTGACCAGTGACGGTGAAATGGATGCTGGTGATCTCAAGGAGGCCTTTGCGGCCGGATGGAAGGCCAAACAGAAAGTCGCCGACATAAAGAAGCAGAGGGGGTGGAAAGGCACTGAGAAGGACAAGAAAGGTGAGAAGACCAACATCGACGCCAGGAAGAAAGCCACGACTTGCAGTTCTTGTGGCAAGCAAGGACACTGGCGGGGAGATCCAGAATGCATCAATGTCGTGAATGGTCGCGACCAGCCGCACCGGAAAGCATCCACGGTGCACTTCACCTTCGTTGCCGGCTCAGACGATCCAAGGGAACGGCAATGTCCACAATGCCATTGGCCCACTACGGGGACAGCCAAATTCTGTGGAGAATGCGGCTTTGCCATGCCGCCACTTGATGATCGCATGTCCTCTCAGGTGAAGCGAGAAGGTGGAGATTGGAGCGTCGTTGATGAAGGAGGAGGAGATGAACGCCCAGAAGGTTTCGGCTTCTCAGTTCGCAAGGAGTCGGTGGTGGGGGCAAAGCCAAAGCCCAAAGCCAAGGGCTATGCTCCTCCGGGCCATGTCCGTTTGAAGGGACAAGAACTTCTGGCAGCTCTTCCATCGATGACGAAGGAGGATAAGAAGGAGCTCCATAAGGCCCTACAGAAGGAGGAAGATGAGGAGACGGAGAAGCGGAGAGACCTGTTCAAAAGAACTATGTCGGAGTACAGCTACTGGGACTATGAGACCTATGAACCCACCGCCAGGGAACTGTTCCCAGATGCTCCTTGGAAGTATCAAGAGTGGAGGGCAAGACAGGAAGCTGAGCATGATCCAAGAGCCAGCGCATCGGAAGCCTCCGGAAGTCAAGGACCTGTGCCACCGCCACCAAGGAGCGATCGTCCCAAGGCTGTCAAAGACAAAGAGCTGGAAGCCTTTCGATGGCAGTTGTATCAGAAGCAAGTTCGTCATGGCCGGTGCATCCCTTCGACAGCAGCAGACTGGAGAATCTCCGATGGTCAGCCAATGCGGAGGGTCACTTCGCCCGCTGCAAGTTGTGCGATCAGAAGCACGTCATTTACTTCTCCAACCGCCACGGAGCTATGATGGTTCACCATCATCAACCTCCTGAAGGAGTCGGACCACAGACCAAGGTGTGGATTCGTGAGGATGAAAAGGCTTCCACCTATCGCTGGGTGAACAAAGGAGGACCAGCCAAAGATCAGGTGCGCTGCCGTGTGACCAAGGACATCCATGGCAATGTCTTGGAGCTCAAGCAGTTGACTGGCCAAGAAACAATGGAAGAGCTCACACAGCCGTTGGATGGACCACCTCGAGCGCTTCTCACAGGGTTCTGGTATGACAGCCCCGACAGTAAGGATGCAAGCCATGTGCACTTCATCCAGGCCCAAAAGCCTGGCTTGGCCATTGCTGATTCAGGTTGTCGCAACTCAGTCGGAGGAGAAGCATGGCATCAGCATTTGCAGTCCGCTCTCAAAGCACATGGCATTCCCTGGTTGGAGATCCCAGAGAAGGAGGTCTACAAGTTCGGAGCCGGGGCACCGATCACAAGCACCACTGCTTGCCTCTATCCAGTTCTCATCCATGGCACTCCTGACGTCATTCGTATGTCAGTGGTTGGAAAGGGCGGCTCCACATGTCCTGGTTTGATCGGGCCAGGAGAGCTCAGTCGATGGAATGCTGTCTTCCACTTCAAGGACAAGGAGATGGAGCTCAATGGAGTAAAGAAGGAGATGAGGTTGACGGCCACCAGACATCCGGGAGTGGAACTGGTGACCTTCGAGAAGGAGGCGGTGACGACTATGAAGGCATTCTGGCACTCACAGGAAGGTGCCAGCAAGAAGAGGATCCTGCAGGACACTCCACAGTCCTATGCCTTCCTCACCGGACCTCATGAAGAAGGAGAAGAAGAAAGTTTGGAAGAAGAGGATGACGAGGTGGAACCAGACCCAGGCAAAGAAGAGGCAGGCGAGAGAGAAGAGAAGGTGAAAGCCTGGACGGAGCAGCTGGAGGACTTGGGCATCACTATGGTTCCGAACCATCAAGAAGAAGACGATGCCTCCAGCACAGCAACAGAACAGTCGGAAGCTCATGCCTCCTCCACCTCCCATGAGAAAGGTGTTGACTTCGTGACTGATGACTCTGGCACCAAAGAAGACGCTGGAGAGCAGGTGTCTCGCAGCTATGTGGCTGATGTCAAGACAGCCCATAAAGGCATCCGCAAGAAGCTCAGTCACACCATGCGGGAGATCAAGAAGACCTTTCAAGATGAGGAAGTGCACAAGAAGGAGGAGGCTAAGAAGGCCAAAGAGAGTCAGAGGCAGAACAGCGAAAGGAAGAAAAGGAAGAAGACCTGGACCATCGTGGAGATCTTCACTTGGACATGTGCCATCTCCATCATGGCCAATCTCCATGGATGGACTGCCTCGGAGCCAATTTCCTTGCCTCACTGGGACATCTTGAAGAGCGAAGATCGTGAGGCAGCGTTGAGCTACCTGGAGCAGCTGGATCCCGACGTGATGGTCATTGCCTGGCCCTGCACTGTTTGGAGTCCGCTTCAAGCTTTCGGGAATAAGTCCCCTTGGCAGCTGGAAAGGTTGGAAGAAAGAAGAGAGGAGCAAAGAGAAATTCTGGGCTTCGTGAGAGATGCAAGTCATGATCAGAGGCGGAGGGGAGGCTTGTTGCTTGGCG